TTTATTCAAAAATTCCAACGATAAAAACGCCTCACTGAAATCCAAACAACAGGAAACCAAGACATGCAATTTGACATGAAACCATCACTGATAATGTAATCACAGGATGATGTCAAAGGCGATCAGGGGCTTTAATAAAACCCAGAATTCAGACAGTTAGGCAAACATTAAATAATGACATCAGTCAAGAAAACATTACAGAGCCTTTACTGGACGCTGTGACCACAAACCCGCTGAAAACACAAAGTCAATGAGAATTCAGCGGGGAATACAACGAGAATACGATGACGGACAGGCAGACAAACACAAACAGACAAACTGACAGCTCAGTTAAGGCGGAAAAAAAGTGAATTCAGCTACAAGAAACAGACAAAGAAAATCCGTTTCAAGATGGAAAAAGCCACAACAGCGACGGGCGTTTTGGAATTTTTCTGAACCCTCGTGTGTCTCATCAGCGTCCCACAGTAACCAAATATTTAGCCTCAAACTGTGCAGCTGAAGTTTTCCTTTCTTTGCTTTTCTCTGAAGTCGTGATGTTTCAGGCTGCTTTCTCTGACTCTGCGCTGACAGCTCATACAGTCTCTGATCTGAACCAAGAAGAAGTAAAAAAAAAAAACTCTGTAAAAACCCCAGAGGACGAGGACGAGGTCAGAGCTGCGACTTCAGGAGTCACAACTCGTGTTGTTTCTGCACATTCTTCTCAATCAGGACTGCCTCGGAGTTGAAAAAATGAGAAATTGCCCTCCCTTCTCTGAACAAATACAGACTAAGTGGATTTATTTATTCTAATTTTACTCTACAAGTCTGATGTGTTGCTCACTGCAGTGCAGCTTTTTCTACTCGGGGACTTTCTTTCTCTGCTTTCAGAGGGACATATCATCTTTCTATCGCTTCTAAATTTACTCATGAGGAGAGTTGTTACTTTGCTGCAGTCAAAGCTCAAATTCAAACTCAAAATCTCAAAGTTAAAGCTCCAGTGAGGAGTTTTAAGCTGGTTATTAAAGTGACTGAAATGAATATTAATGCCTTAAAGTGACCTAAAAAAGCCAACAATACCATCAGCAACAAGACTAATAACTTCTTTATTATCATATTTAAGTGCTTGTTAGAACTACTGCAGGATGTCAGACACAGTGAGAAACAACATGCTGCAGAAACAGACTTTTGTTCACATTGTTCACAGCAAAGATTCACAGATACGTTTGACTGTTAGAAGAAAGCAGGATGAGATTTTCAGTCAGAAAAAATGCAAAAAAGAGCAGCAATCAGCAAAGATATGTGAGGGACTGCTTTGTCCACAGAGGGCACCAAAATCAACAAAATCAAAGTTTCTCACAAGCTTAAATACATTTCTGGTGAGTCACTACTGACTTAGTAAACAAAAAGGTTAAATGAGCCTTTGGCCAACTGATGAAAGCATGCTGAATGTGAGAATCCTTTGGTGCTACAAATTGACGAGAATAGTCTGTAAATATTAACAGAAGAATCAGGTCAGCTACACGCCTAACTGTATGGAGTTCTACTGTAAGGTAAAACTGGACTAACAGAGAAAGCAGGGTGTTAGTTAAACTCTGACCAGAGAGTAACAGAGAAGTTACAGTTCTTCATAAAATAGATGAACTGTTTACGAGAGTAATTGAGTTTTAAAGTTTTAAACTAAACGTTATAACGAGTGTTGGAGCTTCAGTTTTATCATTGAAGTTATTTTTCCTCCTTAAACTGAAACCCTGAGTTTTGTCTTGCAGGAGATCAATGTGTCGAGGGGTAAAATACTGCAGCTCCAGAAAATCCTCCTCTGTTCCACTCGGACGAATAACGGCAAGTGTCTTAATTAAAACTGGCCCTTCCTGGACACCATAGACAACATGACACAAGCTCCCTGATTGGCTATAGGACAAATATCTCTTCCTGTTTTGGGGGGCGTCAATAAGCGAGTTTAACCGCCGCTGAGTTTTAATGGGATCTGTGTGTAAAGCGTCTTCATCAATAGGCCTAATGACCGGTTTCAGCCCGGCAGCCGATAATCTGCCGATGGTTAGAGCCGGGTTATCGGAGCTGCATTTCTCCAGGGCTGAGGGGCTTCAAAGGCTGGTTCCAGACCCCACTGTGGGTCCAAGCTGGACTAACACAACAACAGACTCCGACTGTTCGGTCCCGAGGTGCTGATAAAGTCATGTTGGGATTTAATTCTTAAATATGCCAGTAATCTAAAAAGTTTACCTTCTCTCCCTCCTCTGGGATTGTCTCTGTATGTTTCAGAATGAGTGTTAAAAAAGTAAATATTTAAACCTCCACACATCTATCGAGTATTTTAATACCAAGTACACAAAGATTTATTCTCTTCACAGAACCTTTAGAGGGATACAGTTCTGCTTTTATTATTTTAATCCCGGCTGCTGGGATGAAAAATGTTTAAAAATAATTTGACAGCCTTAAAAATAATGACATTTCAAACATGCTTTTAAAATGTGTTAAATAGTGAATAACTATTTAAATGAAGCGATTAATTGTGATTAAAAATGTAAACATTAGCCTTAATTTTAATATTTTGCACAAAAAAAAGAATCATCTGACAGCCTTAAACATGGGATTCAAATGTGTTTAATCAAGATTAACTATTAAACTTCAGTCATTAATCTTGATTAAAAACAACATCATTAGGAGCGCAGATGGACTAGCGGTTGGCCCTTTTAAGAAGCCATAGCTCCTCAAGCAGGTGGCCCAGGTTCAAGTCCGGCCCTTTCTCTCTTTCTCTCTCTGTCTCGCTCTCTCTTGTTTCCTACTTTGCAAGAAAAAGAATCATCTGAAACCCTTAAAAATGTAATTTCATACATTCGATTAAAAGTGTGATTAATCAAGATCAATAACTCTTAATCTTTAGCGATTAATCGAAATCAAATTAATCGTTAGACAGCCTTGATTTTAAAATTTCAATGTCTCCTGACAAGATGAAAGAATTTTTGAAGTAATCTTACAGGAACGTGACAGCTCTGTAAACTATAAATGTATATTTATTTAAATTTTAAAAAGTCAATTGAATATTCAAATAAGTTCAGAAAAAAAATAATTACACACCACTGACGTCTGGAGAGAGTGCAGCTCAAATCTGCAGACATTAAAGAGAAATAATGATTTGTTCATGAAATGAACACCGGACTAATTTCACTAATTTATATAAATCTTTTGCTTTTTAGTTTTTAATAAATTAAACCAGTTACTGAGGCTGCCTCTGAATTTTTCCTGAGTCGCAGGAAAGACTACGAAGCGGCTTAATTATTCCATGAAGATCGCACCAGCTGCACGCCGCTCACTGTGTGATATAAACGTCATCGCCCACTCACTAGCTCTCTTTCACTCCTGAATATTTCCTTCTGCATTCACACATCAGCTCACCCCAGCTTCACTTTTAAAACATACGCAGGAGAGATTCCAGATAGACAAGGTTGTAAAAATGTGGCTGTTTGCATTTGTACATGCAGCTTGTGTGAAAACCCCATAAGTGTATTTGGAGGAAGTGAAATACTAAAATAACTAAAATGTCTGAAAGGTAAAGACGGGTTATTTTTTGTGCCAAGCGTCTTAAAATTCTGTTTTCAGTGAATAACTCCCGTCATGACGAGCTCCTCCGCGCCTGGACTTGGCCTATGATGTCTTAGACGCCCTATCCCCTGACCTCTGACCTCTAACGCTCTGTAGCTACCCCCTCTTACCCCAACCCCCCCCCCCACCCTCCCCCTCATCTCCTCCTGACGTCCTGCTGCGGTCAACAGCAGAGAGACTGATGTCCGGTCAACCGACGTCTGACTGACCTTTAGCAGCTCGGCCTCCAGGGACTCATCTATCTCCCAGCATCCCTCACTCCCTCCCTCGACCCCTCCCCTCTCTCTCTCTAATGCTAATGCAGCTGTTTATAACTGCCACATTGACTTTCTCCTGCCACTGTATGTAAATACAATCTGCTCTGATCAATGGACTGTGAGGTGACACGCTGCTGACCACAAACACAAACACTCACAACCAACCCCCGAAACATTTACTGAACGCTCACCAGATAACGGCGCAGGGATTATGAGCGTGTTTCATGAGAGTGTTTGAAGTTCAAATCAGACTAAATATTTGTGTCACACTTAGTGGACGTACTTTGATCAGACACATTTACACCAAGGATTACGTCGCAGCCATTAGAGACTTTTTGCACCAATCGTCTTTAAGATCCCGTCATATGTAAAAAAAAAAAAAAAAAAGAGTAAATAAAAAAATATGGCCACAGTTAAAAAAAAACACCAGGATTTATGAATCATGTGTATTTTAAAAGGCTTTAGTTAGTGTTGTATTTATAACCACACTAACCAAGACTAAGACATACCCGAGACCAGAGTTTTCCGAGACCGAGACAAGACCAACACCATAAATGTCAGTGAAAAATCATCAACTTGTGTTTAGGGGGCGTGTCACTCACTTAGACCGTCACACCGGGACGGTTGCGGGCGTAACCGGGGGATAAAAGTCAAACTATGAATGAATTGAAGTTATTTGGTTTTTTTGAGAAAGAGGAGTTTTCTTCTAATCACAGTGATGATGTGAGCATGAAGTCTATCAGTGGTGGTCCTGACAGGTCTTGATTTAAAATCCTGAGTCCGCCCAGTCTGAGACAGAGTAAAAATGCTTACAATTCTGAGGATGAGACCTTTAAAAAGTGGTCTCGAGACCTTCCAGTGCTACAACACTACCTTAGGTAACAAGGTCGCTTTTTGCTTTCTCATTCACTATTAAGAAGTTTGTATTTTTTATTGTTAAAAAGCAGCTAACAAATCACAGCACCTGGAATAATGAAGCCTGATGAATGTAAATCAGTTCAGCATTTTCCACATGTACCTACAAACTTGAAATAAAAGTTTTTGAAGCAAGATGTTTCTGCTTCTGACCCGTGCTCCAGACTCAGTCTGTGCACATCGCAGCATGGAGACAGACCGAGACCCCCCTCCTCCTCCTCCTCTTACCTCCCACAGGTGTCGTGAGTTCCTCATGGCTCCGGCCTGCAGTTTGTCGAGCAGCAGATGGACTCCCTGAAACGGGCCGATCCAGGTCCCCTGAGGGATCCTCTGAGCCGCACAGATCCCGTAACCCAGACCAGGAACGGTGCTGGTGCACAGACACACCTGAACACAACACAGAGGGTCAGAAACACAAAACTCAATCTACTCCAGGGAGGAGTCTCAACAGTTTATGATCACAGAGGAAGTGTCACCTCTCTGGGCAGGTCTCTCAGCCAATCGGGGACGTCGGGGAGGGTGACGGGGGCCGCCGTGCTGCTGGTGCCGACGAGTCGCCGTAGAGAGTGAAGAGGGCCGTGCATCGGACACTCGCCGTTCCTGTTGTCGGCACACATGTCACATCCTGCAGAGAGGAGGACATCTTTGATTACAAAGAAGACAAAACACGTTCTCTCCTACAGGAAACAAAACTCAAGAAGCTAATTATTTACTAACAATATCTCTGAAATGTTAATTGTGTAAATTTCAAACTTTTTTTGTTTGTTTTTTTGTTCTGACGCCCTTTGATCAGTCTCTGATTGGTTCTCATATTTTGGTTAATTTAGCAGAGTCCATTTCTGACAGTAAAGTGATTGTTTTTATCCAACGCTTTTTGACAGCCAAAATTTTGATTATCAGATACTCGGACCCAAAAATGTTCGACTTTACTTCACATTTCAAATGTTCCAAATTCCAATTTAATCCAATAAGATTTATTTTTAGTAGAGAAAAACGTTTGATATTTAGGATTTAAAATCTTGATGATTACTTCATGAAAGGGTCTGGAGGAAGTCATGTGTGAGTACAATAACCACGAGAGACGAGGGAGGACAGTAATAAGTGGACAGTAGGACGCAACCTGCGTAGGTGAGCTGGACACCTGAGATGAATCTGACAGATAGAATCTGACCTCCAGCTCTCGCTCAAGCATAGACAATCCATGTTGTCCACACCTCCCCAGACGTTTCTTTACCCAAAACTGTGTTTGTCCTCTCTGCACAAAACATTAAAATCACACATTTAACCTCCAGCTCCGTCGTCTATGGGAGGTCATGTGAGGTGCAGCGTTCCTCCGTCAGGCACGATTATCTTAATAAAATCCTGTAGTCTGTGATGTGCCGTTATTGTCATATCTTGCAGAGTGAGCATGCTTCAGATTATAGAGAAAATATCTGTTAGGACTCTCCTCATGTGTGTGATAATACCTGAATTCAAAATCGGGAAGGATTTTAAAACTCCTGCAGAATGAGCCTGGCTTTAGACATCCCCGTCATTTATCTGACTAATAAGAACATGTATTAAAACAATCAGCAGGGAGGACAGAATGATGAATGAAAGAGTTAAACATGTTGAACTCTGCATCTTTAAAGAGTGATCTGTAGATCTGTTTTTTTGGACTGTGTTTGTGTAAAAAAAACTTCTTAAAGAGAGAAAAACTGAATCTGAGGCAGAAGAAAAGAGAAAAGGAGCAGGATCTGGGAGTCTCCTGAAAAGCCCTCTCTGCGGTGTTATTCCAGGTTAAATGTGGCGTCGAGCGTTTTGCTGGGAATTAGCGAGTGTCAACATTTACTCAGAGATGCAGTCTGACAGTAATGGATGTTAATTGACTGTAGCAACATAATGAGAGATGATTATCTGAGCACTAAACTCCCACAGAGTGGCTCGGAGCGGAGCGGCCGAGAGGAACAGGATGTAAACGTTGTTTCTTTTAAATGTTTTTTCCCAAAATGAAATATCCGCCGTTTGAGAAAGTGACGGCCACTTTCACGCCGTGATTGATAGAAGTAAATTAAACCGCATTACGGTCATTTATAAACCACTAAATGTTACACAGCTTCACGGTCGAGTAAATGGGAAAAAGCTGACTGAATTAAAGGGAAATAAACAGAAACGTCAGGGAAAGATGCGCCTCAAAACCCCTTCTACCTCGGTCTTTACCAACGAGAACTCTGCGTTTGATGTGGTTTTTATGTAACTCTGTGTAGAGGTACGTTCTGACATGAAACTCAACTGAGGAGGACTCGATGGATCCATCAGACGACACTGAAGACTTTTATCCAAGAGATGAAACTGTTAAATGTCACATATACTCCTCCTCTTCAACCAGTGTAAATAAGTCTCAGAGCTCCCCAAACAGTTTCTTGTTCTAAATCCACTCTGATCCTGTATTTGATCATGTCTATAAACCCCTCTATTTCAGCCCTGCTCAGAACAGACTGTTTCTGTGTCTGTACCTTTAAATGTAAATGAGCTGTGTCTGACCACACCCCCTCTCTGGAAGGGCTTGGGTGTCTCATTCTTTCTCGCTCCATGTCCTATTGTTTACGGTGAGAAGGCAGACTCAGAGGGCAGAACAAACACCTAGCTGTGGGAGTGTCACCCACCTGGGGGAGGGGTTACTGCCCTTTGTGATGTCATGAAGGGAAAATCTCCAAACGGCCTGTTTGAGCACACATTTTCTGAAAAG